GCTACCCCAGCCTCTTCCCAGTGGGTGGGGCTGGACTGGGACTGCACTCAGGTCAGGTGGGTAGTGCCAAGGGATGGGCTATAGCCCCCCTAAAATTTGCCATAGCCACCCCTCCCAGAGCCACTGCCACCCATCCTACCCCCGCCCACCCCAAGCCTACAGCCTGCCCTCACCCCACGCACAACTCCAGGAAGAGCATGCCCCCATGCCTCCCCAGGGGTGCACGCAGCAGCAGAGAACCACCCCCTACTCCCCGGACAAGCCAACCACAGCTGCACCCTATCCCACCCCAACTGGGCAGCACCTGCCCCTGCCCTGGCCCCGTTCCCTCCCTCACCATGGGTGCCTCAATCTTCCCTCCCACCCCCCTCCCTCTCAGACTTACCAGCCAGACGCAGCTCTCCAAGCTGCCGGGATGCATATTGGCCACCAGATCGGTATCAGGCGATATGGCTGGTTAATAATTAGCCATCAGTAATTGGCCAAAAAATATTTATCAGTGCACCCCTACCTTTTAGTAGTCTAGCCAAGCTAAAGGTTTCCACATCTATCTTTTTCTTCCATTAAATGTACTATAGTAAGAGCATATGAGAGACATCTAAATCAAATGATAATCAACCCCTCTTCTCCAAGACACAACTTCAACTCTGCAGCTCATGCAAAATTACAATTGCACGAGTGTCACACCCGATTCACAGAGGATGAGAAAGGGTGTGTATTTTTGGGCAAAGCCAACTGCATTTTAAGTGTCTTGCATTTTTCACTTTTATAACTCATAAATCTGATTCAAACAAAACAGAAATTTCAAATTACATACGAAATTTATTTCAACATGAAGAAAATTCTCATATAACACACAAATGGATGGTAACATTCACTAAAACATCATAAGATACGTTGAGATTTTAGAGTTTATAGTTAAACAATAAACATCTATGAAAATAATAAAGAGTTCACAGCCCCAAACCAAAGCAACTGCAGTCTCTCGACTATATTCCTCAATCCTTCCTTTCAATCCATCCTATTTATAATCCTTAATTCTATATTTACACTTCTGTTCTTGCAAATGGTGCAAAAGTTCACTTGCTTTTGTACATATGCCTCTTGACTTTGGGTCTTTCACATATTAGCTCTTTAAATGTGCCTGCATAATGCTATGCATGCTAACCATTATTTGAATTCATATAGCACCCAAACAACTAGACATTGTCCTTGCAGGCAGAGAAGCAATAACTTGAATAATTTTGTTTAGATATGCACCATACCAACTGTAATAAGCACACAATCAATATGTCATATACATGATTTACATTTAAAAAGAAGGTATCAGTTAAACTTCACTGTTTCTCAACCCAACCAAGTTTCATGTAAGTTACTAAGTTTCTTGTGAGCATCGGTAACAAAAGTACAAAATTTAAAAATTATCTTAATATGCCTTTTAGGTTTACAGATTATCACAATTATAGGTAAAGGAGAAATCTAATCACTTACATATTTTCCACATTTCAGAACTTCCTGAAAAGGCACTTCTTATACTATAGGAGATATTTATGTATGCAATAATAAAACTTTTGCATTACCTTCCTTTGTCCACATCACCCTAAAAATGCAAGGGTTCTGAAGACTTACACTGCAGCACTCACCAGCAGCATATCAACAACTCACTTGCAACTCTAAGCCATTGCTGACAGTAAGAATGTAAAAGCAAAACAAACAGTATTATCATATATCAATCCCAATGTTTTTATTAACGCACTATAAATTAAGGCGCCAGTTTGAACTGTATTTTGCCAAGTACTAACCATGGATTAGAGAGCCATTTAACCACTGTATATAGTAGTTTTGTGGAAAAGATAGCAGGATCTCATTGCTGATTATTGAGAAAGGTAGAAGCAGGACGGCACCAGCTGAAACTGCAAGAGTGAAGGTGCTCAAAAACAGCCTGAAAGTCAAAGAAATGCATCATTGTTACTGCCAATGTTTCAAACAGCAAAGAAGCAGTTAAATCTAATTCACTCATTGCTCAATAAAAATGATGGACTCACTGGGACCAAAAACTACTCATATTAGAAGATTATACTTATAAAATGGTTTCCTGAATTATCAAAATTAGAGTAAAATAATTCTCTTAGGTTCCCCCCTCCCCTCTTAGAAATTAAGCACATGCAATATCACACATTAGAAAAATATTTCAGCATGGGCTACCATTATTTGAGACTCCTAAGTATATGATGAAGACTGGGGAAGCAGAGATGAAAAGAAATCACATACACTTGTTCAAAGTAAAGTAAATCAATTATTTTGTCACTTACAGGTCAGTAGGATCACATTTCAGCATTAACTTTTAATGTGGAACTGCAGATTTACTGTATTTCTACCCATACGAAGAAAGAAGTCTTCAATGATTTAAAGGTCTAAAGAGTTTGACAACCCTTAGATAACAGAATAAAGGAAAATCTACTAAAATTAACGAAGTACTCAAAATGTTGCAGGGAAAAATCCACCCAGCTTCAAGACTCCAAATGCAATTTATACGCAACGATATCTTGTGGTATTATGAAGAATTGTACACTCTAGAAAATAAGCCCAAGCAATAGCATAAGATACTAAGTCTGATACTACAACACAATTTTCAGTAATTTTCAAAATTCCATGACTGAAGGTGAAAATACACATTGAAGTAAGATTTTCTTCCAGGAAACAGGCAATAACATTCTTTACCAAAAGACTTCTCTGCCATCCCAGCCACCACACAAAGACAGTCTGCTTCTGCAAATTCTAACTCATTCAAGTAATCCTTATTTCCATGAGAAGTCCTACTGAAGTCTACATGATCACTTTTATGAAGGGTTACACAATCAGGCCAGAATCTAAATTCTTAAAAAGAAAGATTGTGACATCAGCCTTTGGGCCTAAAACATCTGAAGTAGGCTAAACAAAGAAGATGTAGCCCTCTAGACCCTACTGTGTATTGCTGTTTTACTCTTTTTTTTTTAAACAAAGCCATGTTAACTATTATAGGTGAAAAAGTATCATCTTTATGGAGTATTTGCAAAGTTACTGTTTAATCCAAAAGAAATGTACACAGAAAATAAACATGAGTTTAAGATTAACAGGATAGGAAGCATCTTTTAATACATACATGTGTATTTATACCAGGCTACACTTTGATTTTTGAAGATAATAAAAGAAGCTGAAGTACCTGATATTTATTATGCTATTACAAGAGTAAAATGTAACAACTAAAAAAGTTGTTATTAATTTTTTCATAAAAAGCCAATTGATCCTACTTCTGCACGCTTTTCTGAGAGATGCCAGCCAGTTAATCTGTAGCTGGAAAAGACCAGTCAAGAAGGCAAAACAGCCTTAGCCTGGAGTCTGCAATTAAATCTTTTCTTACTAGAAAATACTTTCACTAAATACCCTGCATCTCTAAACCCAGAAACCAAAATCTGAATCCCTCAATTACACTTCATTATGAAAATACAGCTAAAAATCTGATTTGATAGGATTTCAGTAAAGCTAAAACAAACTCTGTGACAGTTCAATGGTTTGCAGTGTTTCTCAGTTCGCTTTTCAGGAATCCTATTTAGGGATTTTTGGATTCATAGTTGGTGCCAGGCATCGCTGAGAAGGGCAAGTGATTTTTACAACTACAGCAGCTTCTTTATCCTTCTTCCGTAACTGCCAGGAATAGACAACACTGGTACAAAATTGTCTTGCACACAAAAGAATAAACAGCTTTCAACATATTCAGTGCTTCTCCATTGTTTCCGAGGTAAAAAAAGTCTGTGAGATGAGCACTAAACTCCCTCTGCTGAAGTATATCAGTACTACTGGGAGCAAGAGAGGGCATTGCCACTGCAGACTAAGTAACACACTATCATCAGCATAAGAGAAAGACGAGACGCATTACATAATGTTTGAAGGCCCACAAGAACAAAAAGTAAGAGGATTTTAACAATTCCCAGAGGAGAAAGGTAAATTGCTAGCAGCCAACAGGAAGAGAGATTACATTTTCAAATCTCTTCTATTTAAGAGGAAGGAACTAACATTACAGGGAGCCTGAGACCTGTTATAAGCACCCAATTTACTTTCTAGAAAAAGCTTCAGGAGAAAGAAATGCTAAATTAGAGAAAAACTTCCTGAAGCCAGCTAAGAACAGTGTTCCAGAAACCTAACAGCAAAAAAACCCAAAACAGCAAGTGGCAGAAGACACTTCAGTAAAGTTTCTTAAAATTAATTTGGCTTCTTATTCTGGGTAAGGAGGCAATAACAAGTATAGAAATCTGCTGAGGCAGAGAGAGCGCAGCTGAGATTGTGCGCAAGAGTGCAGGCAAAGAATCAAAAAATTATGATGCCATGCATTGGGGATTTCCAGAAAATAAGCAGCAGACCAAGCAACACCCACAAGTACAGCCCAGCCTAGACCGATGAGCCGAACATACACAGGTAAGCGACAGGGGCCAGGGTAATGCTGAAAGTAGGGGGCCAGTGCACACATCCACAGGAGGCCTCAGATGCCTCTACACAAACGCTCGTAGTATGGGAAATAAGCAGGAGGAACTTACCCTCCTGCTAGCCAACACCAACCCGGACATAGTGGGGATCACTGAAATGTGGTGGGACTCAACACATGACCGGGCAGTGAATGTCAAGGGCTATAGGCTGTACAGGAGGGACAGGATAGGAAGGAAAGGTGGGGGCGTGGCACTCTATATTAAGGAGGAATACACATCCTCGTCAATTAGCAAGGAGTCAGAGGAGGGGCAATCTGAAGTGCTTTGGGTTAGAATACAAGGCAGTCGAGGGGAAAGAGACTTATCGGTGGGTGCCTACTACAGACCTCCCAACCACAGGGAAGAGCTCCACCAAGAATTCTTAGGTCAGGTCACGGAGGTAGTTAGGTCAAAGGACGTGGTCGTCATGGGGGACCTGAACTTTCCGGACATCTGCTGGGAAGAGCAGTCAGCCAGGTCTGACCGCTCATGTAGGTTCCTAGCCAGAATGCAGCACCTCCATCTAACCCAGGAGGTGCACAGCCCCACCAGG